CTAGCTCCACATACCTTTCTTATTCTTGATTTCAATATATATTGAGCTCCTGGAGAAAAATAAAACCTTTACAGTACTTTCAAAGATTACTCATTTTATATGTGAAAATAGTTGTAAGGAAACTGAGAAGCACTTGGCTACACACACTATGCTCTATGTATGTACAGAGGTATGGCTCACAATTGGATCAAAACATTAAGCTCTAATAGGAAACAGTTTCAGACTTAAATTGTCTTTAAAAAGGCATTTACTGAATCCAATTCTGGCTGTTAAAAATGCCAAGAATCTTAAACAACATTTTGCTATCTGAGCCGAACAACAGTACTATCTTCAGTGAGTTTTATCTACCTCCAGGTCCTAAGAGATTGGTGTTCAGTTGACATCACCAAAACTACCACCAATAATGGTATCTTTAGAAAAACTGTGTTGAGAAAATGTTCTAAAAATTTATCTATAAGACTAGCCTGGTATGTGGCTTAATGTGGACAAGGGCAAAAATGATTAGATAGGGGCAGCTGGGTGGCACATGAGATAGAGCTCCGGCCTTGGAGTCAAGAGGACCTGAGTTCAAATTGGGCCTCACACAGCCCGGGCAAGTCACTTAACCCCAACTGCCTCCGTACTATACATATATATATATATATATTATTAGATAGTGGCTGAATGCCTACAATGTGCAAGGTACTGAGCACCGTGGGTAAAGTTTAGTACGTAAGCAAGGATTCTCCTGCCTTAAGAAATTTACAATTTAGAGGGGAAGTGTATTTAAATATTTGAAAAATTCCATAAATAACACTTTGTTATCATCCTAGGTCCAGTTCTCACTTTTACTCATAACTACCTAATATTTTGGCCCCTTTAGCCAATACCAACAGTATCCATTAAAGGTAATATTTCTTTCTAACAATATTTGCTTCAACTGGGATATATGATGCACATGCATATGTATAGCAGATGACCAAGCCCTTGATTACTACACCAGCGAGTTTAATATATGCTAGTGAGTGCTAAAGGCAAGTTCAAGCAGCTGGCACTCATAACACAAACTGCCTATCCCTGCTTGATGTAAAAGAATCAGGTATTCTTTTTAAAAAAAAAAAAAAAAAAAAAAAAGAATCAAGTATTCTAACATATGGAGAATAGCCAGCAGACTATTTCATGGCTAATGTTGAACGAATACTTTAATATTTAGTAACATTTCAATTTACCTAGAATATATTTATGTAAGTGAAACAAAACCCACCATTAACACTGTGATGGATACCATTAACTGAATTTTACAAGATTAATTTTTTGATGCTTCATTTTGATATATAAGTAGTCTATACCAGTTGACAAGTTAATCGTTAAAAAGTGACAAATTTTTCAAACACAGCAACTCACTATGGTGAGGCTGTGATCTGTTAGCAGCAAGTGAAGTAGAAATACAGACACAGTTATTAAAGTTTAAGGTATACCACTATCTGTCTGCTTCTCTTTAAACATCTGTGCAAGCAACCTGCTGTTATTTCTGAATTTCACTGATGAATGTTCTTCAGAGAAGTATCAACAACTCTGTTAATGAGGCTAAATAATTCTAATGTACCTAAAGTAAGTAGTCTTATGCTTAACTATGCTCTTTTTGACCTTTAATTCTAGAAACCAAATTTCTTCTTGTTCACAATACAAGCTTACATTGATTTTTACCTGCTAAGGGCTCCCAAATGGGGCTTTGTTCCTTTATATTAGGATTTTAAATTAATTCTGGAAAATATAAAGCAAAGCTAATAAGACTGCATCTTAAAAATTTTTTTCTATGACTTAGAGAGCAGACATAGGAAACCAAATCCAATAAAATATTGCTAAGAAATCAATAGGCTAGAGTATCACTGCTGAAATTTTTCAAAGACTCTAGTCTCCTAGAGAACCGGAAATCCTACCAGTTAATCACTGCAACAGACGACATTCCTAATTAGGTGGATTCGTTTCTTAATGAAGAATCACTGTAATATAAAAAGTCCTGGGCCTGGAGTCAGGAAGACTCATCTTTCTGAATTCAAATCTGGCCTCAGACACTTATTAGTTGTGTGACCCTGAGCAAATCCCTTAATTCTGCCTCAGCTGGAGCAGAAAAAGGCAAACCATTCCAGTATCTTTGCCAAGAAAACCTCAAATGGGGTCGAATAGTCCAAGAGGGCTGAAAAATGACTTAACAACAACGGTTAACAAACAACAGTTTTTGTTTTACTAAAAAGGTAACAGCATCACCTAGTCTGTCTTAAGGTGAAGGGCCTTTCGAAGTATTTGAATTAAGGGGGAAAGAACAAGCTTAACAGATGAAATGGTAGGCTCTGCAGAAACAGAAATGTACAAAGGTACAATGGATTTAAAAGCCACTTTCTTAGAACCACGGAAAATGCATGAGAGCACAGCTCGGGAAGGCTGCTGAAAGAGCAGTAGATAGAGATACAGGAGGTAGCTAACAGCAGCAGAGCACAAGAAGGCTTCTCAACTTGAGCATTCTAGGTGTGCTTTTAACACAAAAGAACCATAGGAAGCCATCAGAAAAAGTAAAAAAGGTACCTCTGACTGGTGGGCGAGGGAGGAAGGAAGGAGTTAATGCCAACACAGCAAAGTCTGGTTTAAAAAAGGTGCTCTGAATAGAGCACTGGCCCTGGAGACAGGAGGATCTGAGTTCAAATCAGACTACACACTTGACACTTACTAGCTGTGTGACCCTGGCAAGTCACTTAACCCCAGTTGCCTCACAAAACACAACAAAACAAAAAAAGGTGCTCTGGTCCAAACAGCTTAAAAAGGGTTTGACTGCTTAGATAAAATAATGAGTAAAAAGTCACTTGATAAGATCATGGTCCTATCTCAATGTTAATATGAAAATGTGACAAGGGAGAATCTGGGAAAATTCATTCCTTATCAAATTTATTCCAGGCCATTATGGGGTAAAGAGAACAATTAAATTTCTTCTGTAATTTTGTATTTATCTAGTGGAACACTTCTTCCTAATACTAGAGAATATTTTAAAGGTTCAAAGATTTCAAATATTAAAAACATGATAAAAAGTAGTTTGAGTTGTTTAAAAATGTCAAAGAGTGTAAACTCCACCAAAGCAGGGATCCTCTCACCTAAATGTTGCATCTCTCCCACTTAGCTAGACAGTAGGCACTTATTGTGTGTTAAAGAGAATAAAAATCTGGGTATGATGACGAAAAATCAAAACTATGGAGGAACAAAGAAAAGAAGAACCAAGAAATGGCAGGCATATCAGGAATATAATCTATACAAACTCATCTACCTATAAAGAAACTAAGTCTTATTGTTATTAGGCCCAAAGTTCATTAAAAAAAATGAGATAAAACTTTTTAGGAACGAAATTTATTAAAAAAAAAAAAATCAATCACCTCTGCTGATTTTTACCAATAAAACTGGTATTACCAATTAACTCAACTGTTACCACATATTTAAAATCACTGAAATTTAGAGCAGGATGGGACCTCAGAAATCTCGTCTAGTCTAGTTCATTATAGAGCTGGAGAAACTGAGGCCCAACTAACTCGCCTAAGGTTACATGGCTAATGTAACAGAAGAGGGACTAAATAAAATTTTAAAAATAAAACCTTTAAAGATTAGTAATAATTCCTCGCCTCTCAAAATCTGATCCATGTTTAATATTTTATTAAATCTAAGACTTAAAAGATGAAAAGGTTGCCAAAAAATGCACTAATCATTTAAAGGGAAAGCTTCCTAACTGACATTTCACAGATAACATGCTATAAGAATCAATCACTAAAACAAAGGATTCTATAACACTGAATTAGAAGAGATCATCTGTCAAATAATGTTCTTTCCAGTCCTAATACTGTTATTTAATTTACCAGTTTACATACAAACAAGACTTTAAAAAAAATACTAGACAGCTCTTTTAAAAAAGCAAAACATGAGAAACACACAAACACAAGCAAATCAAGCCAAACAATTGAAACCAAGATGACAAAATGCTATTATATTTTCTAGGCAGCACATAACACATCTTAATGTGATGGGCACACACACTTATCTAGGGTCTTCTATGATGAAAGAGATGGTGCTGAATCCAAATTACGCCAGAATTCACACAGATGTGCTTGTTGCCAGGCACACCTTAAAGAATTCATTAAAGCTTTGTCCAAGTTTTGAAAAGATCATTTACCCTCAACCTCTTGTAATTAAACACGAGATCGATGTAAAGCTAATCAATATTCAGAAACAAACACAGCGTAACAGTCCCCCACCCCAAAGTGTGTTAAAGCAGAGATAAAAAGATAAGCACCTTTTGCCATAAAAGAAATTCACTACTTCATTCCACATTGGAGAAAAAAAAAAAAAAAAAAAAGAAAACCAAAACCTGTCACATTCCTGTGAGAAAGCGGCTGGCTGCAGTTTACAAATTAGTAATGCATTTCTAGTGATTTTCAGCAATCACATTGGATAATGTTAGAGTTTCTCGCCATAAATAGCTCTGACTACTTTGATACCCTTGTGTCTTGTTCCATCTCAAATTTCTCAATTTGAAATGTTTTGCAGTAAACCACCTTATGACAAGACTTTAGTGCAGTAAACTGATACAAAAGAGAAACAAACTTTTATACAAACTGTATTTTTGGTGTAGGATACCTTTATGAAATAGCATTAAAATGTGTCAATTTCCCATGTCGATTTTCCAAGACATGAATTAACAGATTAATTTGCAAATTCAGTTTAATGCAGTGGAAAACTCCTGAGCATAAATCAGATTTACATTGTATATAATTTGAAGGTTAAAAAAAAATCAAATTCTATTTAGATTTAATTTTGTTTTGATGCCCTCTATGCCTTTCTAACCACCACGTGAGTAATTAAGCTCCCTCCCAGTTCAAATAAATTACATAATTAAGACCATGTGTAATGACGAGAAACCAGCAGAGTGCAAAGCAGTTCATGCATACAATTTTGCATGTATGCATTCCATACTTAAGCATTCATACCTATCCCAGAGGGTCTTTGATTCCTGCAACTTGTTCAAATGGAACGCTTGGTAGAAAGCAGTTGAAGGATTCCTGTGAGATCCAAGAATCAAATGTAAATGATGTTGAGAATGTACACAAATCATTTTTAAAACATAAAGATGAAGGAATTTAGGCATGTAATTGCTTTTTTTTTTTTAAACAAAAGCTGCTTGCTTAAAAACATGGGTGTGAAATTTGAAATTAAAACTAGCTAACCTTACTTAACCTGGCTCTTCACCAGTAACAGCTGTTCAGGATCATTATTTCAGCAATAAACTATAAGACAGAATTCTGACTGAATATTGTTATTATCTAGTTGTAAGCATATAAAAACCAATTCACATTCTAGTCAATGGTCTGCATTAACACTATCCTCGCCGGTTTGAAGTTGAACAAGACATTACTAATATCTGGGGCATTTCCCAAATCCATGTCCATTTGGTAGTCTGACAAGTGTCCTAGTTCAGTCTATAGATCTAAACCTGTATGTTGAACATTCTAAGTAAAATTTGATATATTTCAAAATATCTCGTTTGCTTTTTCAGGTTATTTCTTTTTCTTGTTAAAAGTATTTCCTGATTCTTAATGCTTAAGCTGGTGATTATGATAAGATGCCTATTTTCAGAATCTATCCAAGTGCCTGGGTACCTGAAAGATGCACTCTCAGGACTGTTTTAGTGTTCATCTATCATTGTCACCTTCCTTCCCACTCTCTACCTTATTCTCATTTTCTATTGACCTACTTTGACACTGAATCCCTAAGATTCATCCTTACATATACCGAAGTTAGCTCTGAGGATGGCCCAAGAACAAGCCATCATCCGGAAACAAGTTCATACACACTTACAAACACACATACTCCCAACCTCTCCTAGTCCAAAATGGCACCCTGAAAACTGTCAAATTTGACCAAGAATATCTTGAATCTCAAACAGTAATATTACAATGAACACTGAATAAAACGATAGAGTACATAAAAGTACTCTGAAAAGCACAAAAGTATTTTATGACATCTCCTGGGTACCAAAACCAATCCTTAAGATACCTTTTTTTCCCATTATCTGTCCTTTCTATTTGTTGTTTACAAATGTTTACATTCCCTTCAACAAGATAAACAGCATGTTCTTTCTGCATAGTACAGCATAGGGTTCAGAGACCGGATCAAAGGGCGTACACAAAGTGATTCATACAGACAGAAAAGGTGCACAAATCCACAAAAGGGTGTGGGTGACAGTTTATTCCAGTATCCTTTTTTGTGTCATTCTACAGACACATGTATGGAGTCCACCTTACAGCTTCAAGTATTGTACCACTTTAAAGAAACCCAAGGGGGCAGCTAGGTGGTGCAGTGGATAGAGTACCAGCCCCAAAGTCAGGAGGATCTGAGTTTAAATCCGGCCTTAAATCCGGCCTCAGATCAAACACTTGACACTTACTAGCTATGTGACCCTGGGCAAGTTACTAAATCCCAATTGCCTAAAAAAAAAAAAAAAAATACTGCTATCTTTCCCTAATGTTGGGAAATGAAGAGTTGACATTTCAAGAAATCTGCTGACTACCCCTCTCACCTCCCCATGGCTATATTTTGATTTAAATTTGGTTTAGATAGGATACACTAATTAAGAGGTCATGGGGTGCTGAGGTTTGGCTTTTTACCCATTGACATAGGGAACTGCTGATGAGGCAACTCACCGTCTCCTTGGAAACTGAAGCCTGCTCTGCAACTTTAAGGTTACCGGGCATTGACAAGTTCACTGACTAGCCTAAGGTCACGCAGCCGGAATTTGAAGTTCATGAAAAATGAGATCCTACCTACCATGGCCTCTGTCCCTACCTCTACTGCCCTGCCATGCCAAGTCATTTTATGTAAAACTCACTGCCCTTTCTTATCAAACTGGCTGACTTGGAAGGATGAAGAGTCATAGGGAGTCTTTGCTGATAGTCAGAGTGAGTCAAGAGCTGCTCTTGGAGTCTAGAAGATCTGGATTCAAACCCCACCTCAGACTTAACCATTTAGTAGCTGTGCGCTCAGGGCAAGTCACTAAATCTGACCAAGTCCACCTGTCCCCATCTGGAACCAAAGATTCCTAAGTGATGCTTTGATCTATTATTTTGGCGGCTTTACCCATCTCTTACAAGAGTAATTCTCTCTCCCTAGAGCCTGGCCTGACGGCTGGCAGCAGCACCGAGTGCAGAGTAACTGCCATGCCACAGCAGTAACACGAAAAGCAGCCATTTCTTGTCGGATTTAAGTCGAAGCCTCCTCCCCTGAATCTTGTTAATAGCACCCAAGGGAAAAGAAGCTACTTAACCGTGATTGAAGACAAAGATGTGAGAGAACCACTGATCTGCCAGATGTAATGTTAGCAGCCACTCATGGTATTAAAAACCTGGTCTAGTCTTCTCAGTGAATTTTCTGGCTCACAGAATTTTTAAAAATAATTGCTAGGAAGAGTCTACTTGGTTTTAAGCAATGTGGTATTCCTAGACCTCTCAGAATCATAGAAGGTTGAAGTCTTATAATGAAATTTTTAAAAGAAAATTATAAAAATACAAAAATACAACCTGGAAGCTATTAAATCTGAAAAGCCAAAATTCACAAAAATGGGAGTGCTAAGTAATGTACTTGAAAAACAGGATGATCTCCTTGAAGGTAGGAACTCATTTGTTTCATTTCTAATATTCCTAGCACCTCACACATAAGTGGGTTCTTTCAATTTTACGGGGGGAGGGAAGGGACACACACATAAGGAGATTATTTCTCTTAGAGAAATTTAAAAATTTAAATCTTAACTTCATAGAAATGAAATCTTACCAAATATGTTGGTTTTAAATCATGACATTTCAAAAGCTCAGTTTTGCACATATGGATTTCTATACAGTTCAAAATATCTGACCAGCTAGGTGGCACAGTGCATATACAGCCCTGGCCCCGGAATCAGGAGGACCTGAGTTCAAATCCAGTCTCAGACTAGACACTTGAGGTTTGGGTTTTTTCCCGTCGATATAGGGAACTGCTGATGAGGCAACTTACTGTCCCCTTGGAAACTGAAGCCTGCTCTGCAACTTTAAGGTTACCTGGCAAGCTGTGTGACCCTGGGCAAGTCACTTAACCCCAACTGCCTCACCAAAAAAATAAAAAAAAACAAACAAACAAAAAGTAAACAGTTTCTTAAATTAAGACTATATTTAGAGGTATAGTAAGCACCTGAGACATTCAATACTATACACAGAAATAAAGACTTCAGAACACAAGCACATTTAGGTTAGGGAAATGCTACTGCTAGCTATGTGGGTGTGCATCAATGTGGTATGGCAGATTTAGGAGGAAAAAAAGAGGAAAAGAAGCATCACAAAGATGAAATCAATCTTATTTTGTGACACAAGCAGAAACCTATGTGATACTTCTTTTTTGAACCTTCAATTAGAATAACACCTAAGTTGAAGGGCTTACATTCCTCACAAGGAGAAGAATAGAAACAATTGCCTCAAAAACTGATTTCTATAAAGAGATTAAAGCAGTTATCTCTGTGAAGCCTAGTTAAACAAGAATTGGAGGGAGAAAGGGGAAATGATAGCTATTTATAAATGCTGAAAGGTCTGAACATCAAAGACTATTTTGTTTCAGAGTGACAAAGTAAAAAAAAAAATTAAAACAAGGGGAAAATGGTATTACTAACAGCAAGCATTTCAAGACTATAAACAGCCTATTAAAGACAGCTAAAGACACTAACAGGTGACCTGTTAAGAAAACAAACTATTAGAAAGGAATTTTGGAATTGGGGTAGCTTTGTTCACAAATTGTCTTCATCTCCTTTGAGAAGAGGGTTTGAAACCAGTTTTGCAACAACCTCTATCAGCCCTTACCATCAAAAACTTCTGCTCAATTTTCTTCAAAGTGTCAATAAAGGCTGTTAATTTAAATATTCAGTAAAAAAAACTCTTTAGAAAACCAAAGTACTGTTTATTTTTATTATCTACACTTAATTGTCATCTGATCAAAAATGGCTATTTTCCTACAGACCACTTGCAGATATTTTTGAAAATCAGTCTGCAAAATATTCATCTGTACCAGTTCACTACTGCCTGCACACATGCCAAATACAGGATTCATGCCATTTCCAGGCCCCTGAAAGTGGCACAGCAGGAAGTGACTCAAAGCCCAGATAACATATCCATCTTTTCTTTAGCAAGAGAATCTTTGTTGGAAAAGTAGCTATGACACAGGGAGAAAAGAAAACCTCAACTGTATGAAAAAGGGAAGGAAAAAAAAGAACCCTAGAAGTTTAAAACGAGATAAAGGAACCATGAATCAAAGGGGTTGGTAAGACAAACTATCCACACAATTTCTCACCCTAAAGCTTATGTCTACGTCTCTCCACTACTTTAAAAGGTTCTCCCTGGATTACAAATTAGGAAAATTATCAGTCCTGAAAACAAATACATTTCTGAACTCCTGAGGCAAATAGTACTACCAATAAGCGCTGAATAATTTCTTAAATTGCCCCCTTCCAAAAGGGCTGGTCCCTATACCTAAAAGCTGATGACTTTCACTTTTTCTTTCTTCTATTTCCCCAAAGCAGCTCACTTGGGGTGAGCTTACTTGGTGAACAAGTAAGTAGGATTTAACCCAGCAATTAAGTTTATTTCTATTTTTAATTTCAGGGATAGAGCAGAAAATCCCACAGGGCTAACACTAACAGACCAACAGTCTATGGAAACTCAACTACACACAAGTTAACAGACCAAAACTAGTCAGGAGGGGAGTGAACAGACCTCTCCCTACTTTACACCACTCTGAAAGAACCAAAAAAAAAAAAAAAAAAAAAAAAGAGGTCCCAGGCTGAGCTGTGAAAATAGCAGGACACAAAACACAGTAGCACAGGCCATACATCCTTAGCCTCTCCCCGCAGCTCCCAAGTGAGCACAGTCCAACACTACCATACTACCATAAAGTCTAAAGTCAGGACGGAGGCTGGGAAACTGAGCAATCAAAAAAAGAACCGACCATAAAAAGCTACTACAATGCCAGGGGAAGATCAAGATTATAT